GTGCCGTGCAGTAGGCCTTCAAGTAGATTTGCCAACCAACATTAAAAGGAAAAGACGTGACGCATGAGAACCAATGATGTCTGTTCCAGAACGTTTCATGTGTTCAATCTTCCATCTTTAGCGTATTTAATGCGCACTTTGTAACAAATCACTCGAAAGTCTATTATTTACCATTTACTTTCATCTGCTCTCAGACTATATGAGACGGTGTTGCTTAACACATTGCTGTGGGTTGCATCTTCATTCAGATTGAGACACATTGTACCCGTAAATATAATTACTGTAGTCTCCTATTGTGCTATGCCCCTTTTTTTACATTTGAGCCCCTGCCCCTGAGAATCTCTCTGCATGGCCCTATATACATTGGATTGAATGTAATAACTATGATGTACTATAAAGTATTGGCTCGGGGCTTAGTATCGGCAGATACTCAATATTCAATGACTTGGAACATGATTGGGACATCTCTATTTATAACACTTTAACAAATAAAACTCTCTATGCCTAAATTAACCAATAAGTTAACCAGTTTCACAAGCTAGGATCTGCTGGTAAACAGCATGTCTCTGCTGGCACACCATCTGGACCAGCCCCACACCAGCATACGCTGCCACTGAATTTATTTTGGCTAAAGCTATTTTTCAGCAGGGTTAGTGAAATAACTGGATGGGTATCACAGTGCAGAGTTTAGCACAATGTCACATGCGCAGTGAGCACCTTTCTCTTCTTCATGATCTGTCCTCCTTCATCAGAACCTGCTGTTCCTGCACATGCACAAGCTAACTGCTAATGAACTTGTTCAGTTTATATAATGCTGCTGCAGGGACAAACTCAAGAATAGAGAGAGAAAGAGAGAGTTGATAGACATGAAGGTAGGACACGCATGTTTGTTGAGGAAAGGAAAGGAAAGGAAAGATTAGGATAGGACAGGATAGGATACAACCTTTTTGGACAAAACTGTCAAGGTAGGAAGGGAAGCCAGCATACAATTCTCTTAATTCTCTTAAATAAATAAGTGGGAAATTGTGAAATCTGGGTGTATGTAAACACCCAGCCCTTTCTTTGAATTGAGAAGATGAAACAATAACTCAGAGAAAAGGACTTGAAGAATAAATATGAATAAATAGACAAAAGTACTTAAGAGGGTTTTATGAAGTGGGGTGCTGGTATTGATGTTGGCATGGTAACAAAGAGAATGCATGCTACTTTTAAAGCAACCTCTCTCACACTTAATGACACACACACACACACACACACACAGAGAGAATACACCAGCGTGAAAGGCTGTAGTGCAGTGTAAAGTGTCCTTCATGTGCACATGAATATGCATAGAGAAGCATGCACTCTGGATAGAGAGCACTAGAGCTCTTCAGCTCCATCTCTCTGCCTCTGTTACGGTCTCTGTTTTCTCCGCTGCATATGTAGATGTCTATTTTTCAGCCTGATTAACGTTTGATTGGCATTAAACATCCTGTTGGTACCTCTCTGATCTTCAGCTGTTTTTGTGTGTGTGTGTGTGTGTGTGTGTGTGTGTGTGTGTGTGTGTGTGTGTGTGTGTGTGTGTGTGGGGGTGTGTGTGTGTGTGTGTGTGTGTGTGTGTGTGTGTGTGTGTGTGTGTGTGTGTGTGTAAAATCAATCTCTCTTGTGTTGTGTCACCGCATTAGCCTCTGTTGGATATGTGCTTGTGTTTATGCAAGGATATGAGAGAGAAAGAGGGAAAATAGGTGGAACAATAAATGGCCCACAACATACTTTGAGCTCCATAAATAACTGGATATTCACATCTGTCTTTCATTGGAGGGAATGAGGTGTTAGTGTGCAGTCATAACCATTTCTAGAGCAGAATGTTGTTCTCTGACCCGTTCATGTGTATCCAGTCAGGCATCGTCAAATTTACAGCTGTTTAAATGACTTCAAAAGGTCAACATCTAGTTCTTCCTTCAAAATACCCCACCACATGTATTTCAGACAGGAAGAGAAGGATAGGAAAGAAAATAACAAATGATGTCTCTTAAAATGGGAAGTGTAGAATTGGTGTGTCAGCAAACAGAAATACAAAAATAATGCTTCCAGAACACCGCTGTCTGCCATTGGTCTAGCAAACAGATAGCCCCGCCTCAAACTCATGCCATTGGTTAAGCCAGTGTTGCTATGGCTATGCAAAAGCTGTTTTAAAAAAGTAGGCAACTTAATTACACATCATTTTGCCCAAATCCCAGAATCCATTGCGGTCACCTTAGTAAATCCTACATCCAATAAATATTTTGATTGAAATTTTGATGTTAAATAACAAAAACAACATGCAAACACCAAACCCTATTGGAATCGGTTGTGAATTTTGAGTATCCTTCCAGAATACTGCTTTAAGGTGTGGCAAAAAAGGTCAATTTCTATTAGTCAATGCAACAAATCCATGTGAGCAGCTTGAACAACTGTAAAATGTTTCATCCTCACCAGATTAGGTGGATTACTTTTGAAATGACTAGAATTTGCTCATGAGAACTCACCTGACAATGGTAAACGTGAAAGCAGCTTTCTTAAGACACCGTTTATATAGACAAGGACCCTGTATGCCAGCCTTTAGTCTCTTCTTTTTTTTTTTTTCAAGACAAAATCAATACTTAAATGAAACTCGGAACACCATAAAGTCTCCTGAGTTCTGAAAGAGCAACCTCTAAGAGATAAAATGTTCCACTGTGTGTGCTGAAGGATGTGAAACAGGACTGTGCATACAAAAGCTGGGTAAAGATTTTTTGCCCTGCATCTTTCATCTCTGGTCAGTCAATTGCCTTGTCCATTAGTCTTCAACCATTCCAGTATATCTGTGTGTTTGTGTGAGTGAGAGTATTTACCTTTTTTGTCTGTGTTGATCCCAGGTCAATTAGCTGCTCATTTCCAGGTGTTTATCTGCATGTGTTTCAGTTTCTGAGGTGCATTTTAATCCAGACTGAGGTGTTTATCCCTTGTCAAGGTAGAGGAGTGTCCGTGTGTGCTTATGAGTTTATCCTGTGTCCATACGCACACTTCAAACATGAGGATTTAACTTGAGTCAGACTCTCAATTCCACTCGTATCTGGGATATGCACTTGGATATGCTCTTCCCTTGTTAAAATGTTCCTGCTATGAAACATTTTGGCCTTGGGGCCTACCAGCAATTTCACATTTCCACTGATGGCATTTTAAGATTCTCACCATATTCTTCCACCTTTGACTCTTTTCAGCTGTTTTTCCCTCTATTTTCCAGGATCCTGCTGTTTTTATCTTCCTCTCACCTTCTATTCCTGCTCCTTTTCATCCACCTGCCATGTCCATGTGCTCATTTTCCCCTTTAACACCTTCTCATCTCACTCTCTCTCATTATGTCAGTCTGTTTATTCCTTATTCCAGATGTGCACCTTGTTTGTGTTCTCCTCCAAATTGCTCTGATTGTTGTTTTCATGCACTCGCCTCGTCAGTTGTTTGTTCCGTTCGTCTTTCAGTGTCGAAATCCAGTGAGCTGCCAGTTCTGAGGCCTTTGTGTCTCACAGCAAAACAACGTCTCAAGCACAGAGAAAAACGGGATGATGGAAAGGAAGGATGACTGAATGTGGAAGATGAGTATGGAATGAGAGGAAGGAAGAAAAAAACAATTAATTTCAAGATACACAGAGATACTGAAACTGATACCCAGAAGATGGGACTTATTTGAACATTTGTTTGTTAAACGTTCATTAAATAGTTCATTGTTGTCACAGGTATTTCTTCTAATATTCCTGGATAGAAATACAAATATTAACAAACGAGGCAATTGTTGATTGAACACAGATAAGAACACATATCAATAAAGTAAATATAGAAATAAAAATAAATATGATATATTTAATCAAGATATATTTCATTAAATTAAAATGGTAAATAAATACAAATTATACATAATAAATAAAATATTTATTTAAATAAATATGATTTTGAAGATCTCTTGGTATCATGTCATTCTAAGATCTATTCTGATGCGAATATCAGATTACTGGGGTCTTTCTCAGGAGGAAAAATCTGAGAAGCAGGAGACCTCAGCTCCATTTGCTTTTAACTTGCCATCAAGGAGAAATGATTGAGATATTAACAAGATCTCATTTGGGATTTTTCCTTCCTATCCAGTGGAGAGAGATAATATTTAATTACATGCTTCTTCTGATGTCATCGAGGACTGCCACTGAAATGCACCAGTACTAAATGGGCCCACTATCCATTGGGCTAAATGATTAGGACCCTAGTAGCCCCTCCATACCCCCATCACAGGACATCGTGACATCCCCCTCCCAGCCCTGGACACCATCCCTGATGTCATCTCTCCATTTTGCACTTCTAAAAAAATTCCTCTAGACTGCACCTCTCCTCTAGTTTAGTCATATCTGTCTCTCACTGTGTTCCATGTTTTCTCAACTCGTCTGATTGCAAAAAAACATTAATCCCTCTTGGAAATGTCACTAAAGTG